CCGGGACAAAAAAAAGAAACTGTTCTTGTGGACCAGTAGCCTCTTTTAACACTTCCCCATTATATTACCAATCTAAGTAAAGTCTGGATTTCTTCTCAGTAATTATATTTTATCAAGGGCTGAGTATTTGACGTAGAAATCTTCCCTTTAATATCTAATACTTCACCAATACTTCTTTTCCTGGTTTCATATTAAACTGATTTTAATACCTTTACAATGTGCTGTTTCTACTGTAACTGATACATTTTTCTCTTATGCACTGTCTAGTTTTCTATTATATTAAAAAAAGTTCATGGTGGTACACACCTGTAATACCAGCACTCTGGGAGGCTAAGGCAGGAGGATTTAAAGTTCAAACTCAGTCTGGGCAACTTAGCAATACAGTGAGATCTTGTCTCAAAAAGTTGTTAGGATATGTCTTTATTAGGACAACTATGAATTACTTATGCAGATCTCCCCGCCCCCTCTATTTCTTTTGTGATACTGGGGGTTGAACTCATGCACGGTAGGCAAGGCCCTCTACCTCTGAGCTGTCCCCTTCCATTTTATTTGAAACAAGGTCTCACTGAGATGCCCAGACTTGGCTTGAATTTGAGATCCTCCTGCCTTGACTTCCCAAGTAGCCAGAATTACTACTACCATGTGTCCAGCACTTCTATAAATTTTTTGCAAGGCAGGCCACCAAACCACTGAGCTAAATCCCCGGCCCTATAAATTTTTGTGTATCAACATTAGTTTAAACTAAGAACATTGTGGACAGCTAAATTTATGATCCTCTCACTTGCTATTACTGTTTTCAGTGATATTTTCCTTTTTTTTTTGGGAAAGTGTCTTGCTATGCTGCTCAGGCTGGCCTCAAACTCCAAGGCTCAAGCAATACTCCTCAGGAAGTAGTACAGCTGGGATTACAGGTGTGCACTATCACCCTAACTTTGGTTACCACATAATTTTAATTTTACATTACCACTTTGAAAATATTAACATTTATTATATAAGAATAAACTTTAATTTTAAATATTTAACTATATTTTATAATCTAACTAGGCAATTTAGTGTACCTACATAAGTAGATGTTCTGTTCATAGGATAATAAAAAAAGAAAAGTTAGTTTTGGCAACATCCCCCCAAACAAAATTACTGAAAAAGCTAAAAACTGAAAGTCAGCCCAGCTATTTCCTGTCTAGATTTATTTTTTTTCCCTAAAGAGTTAAAAACATATTACAGTCATACATACATATACATGTTTATAGGAGGACAATTCCTAACAGCTCAATCCCAGAAGTGGCCCCTATATCCATCAATAGATGAATGGGTAACAAAAATGTGTTTATACACAATGGAATACTATTCTGCCAAAAGAGTACATTTGGGTCATCTGTACAAAAATGGATGCACCTTGATTTAAATTTTTTTAATTGTTTTTTTTAGATGCAGTCTTGCTCTGTAGTCCAGGCTGGCCTTGAACTCATTATGTACCCAGGCTAGCCTGGAACTTGCAGCGATACTCCTGCCTCAGCCTCCCAAGGGCTGGGATCACAAGTGTATGCCACTATCTATACCTGGCAAAAAAATGGATGCACCTTGGGCTGGGGATTTTATTCAGTGGTGCTGCCGCCTGCCTCACAAGCACAAGGTCCCGAGCTCAATCGCAGGTATCAAAAAAAAAAAAAAAAAAAAAAAAAAAAAAACTTGAGATCATAATGTTAAGTAAAATAAATCAGGCACACAAGCTTATATATCACATGGTTTCTCTTACGTATGAATCCCAAAGGAAAAATACTTTAACAAACAAAATAGATGGTAGGAAATAAGGTGATAGAACTCAATGGGAAGGGGACCAAGAGATGGAGGGAGAGAGGAAGTAGGAGAAAGGAAGAATTAAAAGATGTTATGTATATGTACCAACTCTCCACAATATATATAGTTATTATATACTGTAAAATGTACTAATGAAATTTAATAAAAATTTTTAAAATAACTTAATAAATTCAATAAAAATTTTAAAAAACAAATTCACAGCAAAACTCTAGTGAGTCAAGCTTTTATAATCAGATATAATGTCTTTGTAATTTCCAATTACCTGCTAGCCTCTACAAGCACCACAGTCTATTAATTAGAGCTACTGGAATGCCCATGTTCCAGTTCTAAATCAAGAAACCTGGAAGTGATTATTCTGCTGAGCTTCAAAATCATGCAAGAGAACCACTAGTAACACGGAATTAAAACAGTACAACTTCACTGTCATAGATCTATAATTAACAATAAAAAATATTTACTCTGCATTAGTCAGGTATGAACCAGGTGTCTACTCTACAGACTACTACATATAAACCCTATTACTGCTGACACACAAAGCTTAAAAATGTCAAACTTTAGTAAATGTTTTCAACTTTAATTCTTGGCTAATTAAATTCATATGTAAGACTTTTTATAACCAGGTGCGGAGGTACACGCCTGTGATCCCAGCACATTGGAAGGCTGAGGCAAGAGAACTGAAGTTCAAATCCCTCAGAGGCAACTTAGTAAGATTCTACCTTAAAAAATAAAAGGGCAGATGTAGTTCCGTGGTAGGGCACCCCTGGGTTCAATCCCCAGTATCATACATTAAAAAATAGGAATTTTTAATAGTTTTCTTATGTTCCTCTAACACCCTTTAATGTGCTATGCTTGGATAAAACAAAGTTTCTATTTCTTAGCTGGGCATGGTAGCACATGCTTGTGATCTCAATTCTCTGAGGCAAATTCAAGCCTAGCCTGGGCAATGTAGCTAAAAAAAAAAAAAAAAAAAAAAAAAAAAAAAAAAAAAAGAGTTGGGGTGTAGCTCAATGCAAAGGTCCCATACTGAAGAAAGAAGAAAAAAATTATATTTCTCTAGAACGTACCAATTCAAATTAGTATCATTTACTCTGAATTAAGAGTTTGTCCTATACTTATACAATGGTATCTCAGTTCACATAAATGCTTGCAATTCATCTGTAACAAACAAAAATCATGGAAAGAATTACATTCATGAACCAAAAATACCATTATATAAATATATCACATGATTTGAAAGTAAATGAAACACCCTTTAAAGTTCAGGTGTACTGGTTTTTGCATTCACTAAAAAAGTTTCCAGTACAAAAGACATTTTCAAATGTAATAATCTTTCCATAGGGCTAAAATAGTTTTCTAATGATTAAAGTCTCTTAAGCATGGTACAGTGTATATTATGCCTTATACTCTATAGCAGAGGTACACAATAGATACATGAGACATATGTAATTTAAAATTTTCTAGTAATCCCACTAAAGATTTCAAAATATCTTTTAACCCAATATTGAAGTTATTTCCTTGTACTGTCAACTGGCGGGGGGGCAGTGTTGAAACAAGATGTTACTATGTATTTCGGGCTGGTCTTGAACTGGCTATTTAGCCTAGGCTGGCCTCAAATTTGTGATCCTCCTGCCTCAGCCTCCAGGGTGCTGGGATTACAGGTGTGCGCCACCACACCCAACCTATTTGCTAGTATTTAATAATAAAATATTTTATTTTTTCTGTAGCAGGGTCTCTAAAATCCATCATCTTCCACATTTATAGCACATCTCTACACCCTTCAAGGACTCAACAGCCACATGTGGCTAGCTAGCTGCTTTTTTTGTGGCAGGGGACAAGGTCTCACTGTGTAGTTCAGGATAGCCTTGAACTCACTATGTAGCCTAGGCCTTGAATTTTCAGTGATCTTCCTGCCTTAGCCTCCCCAATGCTAGGATTACAGGCAGGCAGGTACCACCATGCCTGGCTCGGCTAGTGGCTTCTAAACTGCACAGTGAGAATCTAAAGCAGTGGTGCAGAACCTATGCTGCAGTGGGCTATTTGTATCATCAAAAGTTCTAAAAGGTTCACCACTGTTGCTCTAGAGACTAGCGCAAAATAAGGCTCCTTTGCAAACTATTGACAAAAGTATCTCAGAATCTTCACCCCTAATTACCAGTGATTTTTCAGGTACAACCTCATGTTAAAATCTGACTATTACAAAGCATACGAGAGTAAATGTTGTAACTTTGACTCAGAAAAAAAAAAACTTACAAGTCAAAATACAAGTGAGCCATGGTGGTGCATGCCTGTAATCACAATACTCTAGGAGGCTGCTGATGCAGGAGGAACTCAAATTTGAATCTCATCTGGTCAACTTAGCAACACAGCAAGACCCCATCCAGGCATGATAGTGCATGCCTGTAATCCCAGCACTCAGGAGGCTGAGGCAGGAGGATTGCTGTGAGTTCGAGACCAGCCTGGGCTACATAGTGAGTTCCAGGTCAGTCTCAACTACATAGTGATACCCTGGCTCAAAAATAAAAAAAAAGAAAGAAAGAAAGAAAAAAATTGCAAGACCCTGTCTCTCAAAAAAGCCAGGCATGGTGTGCACACTTGTGATCTCAGCTCTCAGGAGGGTGAGACAGGAGCACTGCTGTGAGTTGAGGATAGCCAGGGCTACGTCGTGAATTCAAGGCCAGCCTGAACTAAGCAGTGAAATCCTGTCTCAAAAATACAAAATAAAGACAAAATTTTAAAAATTCAGAAAAGGGCTGGAAATATAACTCTATACAAAGGCCCTGGGTTCAATTCCTATTACTACAAAAGCAAAAGAAAAAAAGAAAAGGCCAGTTATGTTGCTTTTTTATAATCTATGAACCTTTAGGGGAAAAAAGCACCAGCATAATAAAGACCCTAAGTGAAGTACACCTTTTTAAAATGATACTGTCTTTTCCCTGAAAATAAGCTGACTGTAATTGAGTGATCTTACAGCACCACAGTAGCAGCAGCATTTGTAAGACAGAAAATGGTCAATTTTAGAAACCCACACACTGGGCCGGGGATTTAGCTGAGTGATTCCGCCACCTGCCTCACAAGTGCAAGGACCCGAGTTCCATCCCCAGTACCAAAAAAAACAGAAGCCCACACATGAACAAAATAATTTTTTCATGAGAAGGCCAAACATACTAGGAAGTTCATAGTACCTTTGCAAACTTGAAGAATGGTCTTGGATCTTTTCTAAAATATTCAATATCAAACATTGCTTGAGGATCTGGAAGATCTGGGAAGTCAACAGCAAGGCGAGCATAAATACCATCTCTTGACCTGAAGTCTGGTATTCCACATGAAACAGATACCTGAAACACACATACATAATTTGGACAATTAAATCACCTACCTTTATAATTAACACCCTTACCATTTTGGGGAAGAACTGAAAAAGTTTTGAACTTCTTCTAAGGAACAGAAATACCATACCAGTCTAACTTCAAGTGGAAATAAAGACTGAAATAAATTAGTATAAATTCAGCACATACTCCATTTTTAATGATGATAAGAAATTTTAAGTTGGGCCTTTCTTTCGTTTATTTATTTTGGAGACAGGGCCTCACTCTGTAGCTCAGGTTGGCCTTAAACTCACTATTGTGCCTACGATGGCCTAGAAATCATGGCGATCCTCCTGCCTCAACCTCCCAAGTGCTAAGATTATGGGTGTGTGCCACATGCTAAATTGGGCTAATTTTAAAACCTTTAAGCATTTAACAAAGCAATTGTAATTTGAGTAAAAATAGAACCAACCAACCAAACCCACTTATGTAACTAGAAAACAGGGGAAGAATATTTATTACTGTCATTTCTAACGAAATCACTCTCATATGATATGATCAGCATTTAGTTATCTGAAGAATACTAAGTAACTGCACTGCCAGCCAGGTACAGTGACACTTGCTTGTAGTTATGTGCTACTTGTGAAGGTGAGGCAGGAAGATCTCAAATTAGGAGGCCAGCATGGGCTACACAGAGTTCCAGGCCAGCCACCCTCAAAAAAAAAAAAGAAGAAAAAAGAAACAATGTAGCAGCTACTGCTGCTCAGCTTTTAGCACCTTCTAAACACTCATTAAGAATATAGTCTTAGCGGGTGGGGGATTTAGTTTAGAGGTACTGAGTAGTCTACCTGGTACAAGGTCCTGAGTTCAATCCCTGGTATAC